CTACAACCTAATAATATAAAGGAAGCAAATACATTCTTGGGTGCATGTATGTGTATGTGTTATATAGAGAGAGATGGATATAGACACAGATCTAGACACATAGATAAAGGTATACGTAGACTACAAAGTACTGTGAAGGATAAATATCGTGATAGAAATTAACAGGAAGGTCAGGAAAAGCCTTTTAAGGAGGTCATCATTGGGACCAGCAGTTGGTGTAATGGCTATGTCACTGAACTCCCATGTAGTCAACCACAGTTCAAGTCCTTGACCCGGTGGCTTACACTCATGCTGGCCACATGTGCATGCATGCCCAAGATCCTGAGAGGAGAATGGAGGAGAAAAGATTGAAGTGTGGCCATCCCCCTAGAAGATAATTTCTTGCTTTCTGTCTCTATCTTTCTGGCAAGCACACGCACCCTATAGCAAAATCCTCTCAGAAAAAAAAAAAAATAAAAAAATAAAGAAGGTCATCATTAAATTGCCTCATTAAATATAATATTATTTACATATATAGCTTTCTTATGAAGTATAAGACAAAAGATAAAACATCATGAGGTAAAATTAGCAGATCCAAAAGCCCCAAGATGAAAAAAGAGCATGGTCAGTAAGAAGAGAACACAAGCCCAAATGTAGTGAGTAGGGGGTCAGCTGCATAAGGTTTGGTTGGATGGGTGAGCATGAATGAGGGTGTGGGGATCTGCCTTTTGTGCTCTGTGGCTTTTTATTATTATTGCTCCTCAAATATGCAGTATGTATTTTTACTGAATGATTCTCATCATTTAATTTGTTTCCCCTCTATCTGTGAAGCTCCACTACCCCAATTATCATTGACTGATTTTTGTTCAACTCTTGATAGGGGCTGTACCCCCTTCTTCCCCATGCCCCTTTTAACATGTTAGCTTGAATTTTCACTTGCTTTTGAGGTTTTTTTTTTCTCATCTCTATAGAGTGTGGATTTTATTAGGACAAGGAATTGTGGTTAATGTGTCTTTTGACCTTTATTACAATCTGGATAGAATTTTGGTATAAAACTGAATAGAAAGAAAGGATTGCATAAGTTCTTTTTTCTTTTGGTTGGTCTGTGTTTGATAAATTTATTTCAT